ACTGAGTATTTTGCTACTGGTTATGAATGTGAGTTGGAATACTTGTAAGATGTGATAAAAGATGATGTTTGTGATGCTATTGATGGTGATGGTGGTAATTACATATAACTTTTCATATATATTTAGTATCATTTATATGTAAGCTGTAAAGAAAAAAAGTTGTGATATAGGCTGATATTGTTACATGTTGGTTTGAATTTATGGGATTTTTATATACAACCACCCAAAACATTCAATATAACATTCTCTCAAAGATATGTTCTAATGCAATATAAATACATGCATATATATCTCTATCAGATCTCAATGTCAGTTTAGATGCAACTTAATTCATGCTCAATTTGATCTAAATTGATTTTTGAACTTATTGATATCATTCGATGCAACCCAAAGTTTGGAATCACCTTTTTTTTTTAATTTTGCTTTTATCTTCAAATTATTTTTATCTAATAATTTTTTACATGTTTTTATATTTTAATTTAAAAAACAAATTAATTTATTTTTTAAAATACTCAAAATATCTAAAAGCAATCAAAGTTTTTTTTTAAAAACACATAAAAAAGTTATAACATATCAAATATATTTTATTTCAAGTAAAAATAAAAATAAAATAAATAATAAAGTGATCCCGAACACCATTAAAAAAGGCCCATGAAGTAAAGAAATTATCACGTGCGGTCTTAGCAGATCGATGAGCCATCTTGGGATACGGAAAAAATTTGTGTGTGATAGACGTACGCAGCGCTGCGTATGATATTGGGGTTATATCGATAGATCGATGAGCCATCTTGGGATACGGAAAAAATTTATGTGCGATAGACGTACGCAGCGCTGCGTATGATATTAGGGTTATACCGAGGGTACAAGGGTGTTACCTCGGTATAACCCCTTGTAATATCCATGTAACCTTCTGTAACCTACCTGTAACCTACTAACAAATAGGTTACAGAAGGTTATAAGAAGGTTACAAGAGATTATACCGCGGATATAACCCCCTTGTACCCTCGGTATAACCTCAATATCGTACGCAACGCTGCGTACGTCTATCGCACGAAATTTTTTTCCGTGGGATACACGGCGGCATGGCCTCCTCCAAATTTTCATCTGGACATGCGATCAGCTTGCACATAATAATTCCCAAGATGTATGCGTATGTTTATCTAATTCTTCCGCTCTTTAGAAAAAAGAAAACAAACTTATAGAGAAGCATACAATATTGCTATGGCAGTTAAAGTCAACCTGAAGGAATTCAGGAGTTATTGCACAGGTAAAGTTAGTGATACTATTAAACTAAACTATACTGTAACAAGTATGACATGGAGTCATCATTTTTCCCAACCTTCTATCATCAGTTGGGATAAAATAACTTGAACTTCCCCTGAATAGAAATCATAAACTACTAAACTTTAAAAAACCTGAACAAACAATAGGGCAAAACGAACAACAAACACTCAGGATTCAAAAATCATCTCAGTAGAAACCATTCGATCAGCACCAACAAGAGAGAGCCTATCATGGTACACATCCACATAACCAAAAGCATCCGAGCCAGGCGGACATTCGAGAGCCGCTTCGAGCACACGGTGATGAACACCATGCGAATCAACCGAGTATCCGCCCTTATGATCATGACCAGCAAAACATACCTTCACACATTTATATCTGTGTATAACCTCCATCACTTCCTCATAGTTCCATAAAAGAGAAGCAGCTGTAGCACTATTAGGATTTAGAGGAAGATGACAACCTACAATCACCTTCTGCCCTTGTTCAGTAGACTCCTTGAGGACATTATCAAGCCACAGAAGTTGTTCTTTTCCTACAGCTCCATTGAACATCAAGAACCTTTTCTCAAGTCCCGCTAATCCAACCGGACTGTTCTTATCAATATTAGGGTTCTTATCTTCCAGGAATCTAAGTGCCACAGCTGCTCTGGGATCGTCACGGGGCCTGCCAAGAACACTGATGTCATACGCATCCAAACTGACGAATCGGTACTCCGGTGATGGAGAGAACTCGTAGTATGCCTCACCATGGAGGGAGGGAATTTTGAACAAAGCTGTGAGGTCGCTGTGAGGGAGATTGTAGAGGCAGTGATTACCAATCATGTGATAAACAGGTCCATTGAAATTGTGGAATTCATCTAAGACCTTCTGCACGGCAGCCAACGAGTTGTCTCTGGGACAGAATCCATCTACAATGTCGCCAAAGTTCATGGAAAATTTGAGTTTTTTTATGTTGTTCCAGTGGTTGACGGCCCTTCGCAGCACCTGAATGCTGTGACGGTAATATCGAGGGACGCCGAGGAATGAATGACCATCGGGAATATCGGCATACTGAACATCAGTTATGACGCCAAATGAAAAGAGAGGATGCGTTGCACGGGCATTTGATAGTCCATTTGTAGAGGCCATGAATAACCTTTTTACAGTGCAACGTAAGCTCGCTAATTGTTCTGGTAATCTGAAGAAAATTATAAGCAAGCTAAGTTGCTATTAAGTTATCACACTGGAAATAGATTTCATCAATTCAAGTTCTGGCGACAGGTACTTTTATGCTTTCTTTTGGCCATTTTATTTCTTCTAACATTTTATGCTCTGAGAGGTTACCATATGGTGAAGATCAAATAATCCATAAAATGATATAATAATTGTTGAAGAGGAAAAAACTTAACATGTACTTTATTTATTGGGAAAATGACCTATATATAAAAATAAAATGATTACAAAAGATGGTAAATAAAGAGGGAAATAGCAGCAATTATGAAGATATTCAAACGTGCTCCTACTAATAAACTGTTTGGTGTTTTCTTAAGATGTTATTTCCTTTCTCATACTTGCCAACACTTTCCTTAAGGCTGCAGCAAATATATACAATCAGCTCTAGCTTGCTACATAGCTTGAAAAAGTGAATTAGACACATTACCTTAGTAAACATATGTGATGAAGTGAAATAACAATCCATCTTAATGTATTATTTTTTCTTTCGTTAAACATAAATTACTTGAAATGTCGATAAGAAGGATGTTATGAGTAGAATTCAGGTTGGTTGTTGAAGTGGAGGAAAGCATAGGGTCAAATGTGTGATAGAAAAGTACAGCTTAAACTTTAAGGAAAATTTTATAAGATGGTCGTGAGATCTGCAATGTTTTATGGCGCAGAATGTTGGTCTTTAAAAGTGAAGCATAAAACAAAGTAAAGTGTTGTTGAGATGAAAATGCTTAGGTGGATGAGTGATTTGACACTTAAGAGATAAAATGTGAAACGAATCTATTCGTGAAAGGGTTACAATAGCTCCAGTGACAGAAAAGATTAAAGAGACGTTTTAGATTGTTTGGTCACATTAAACGTCGACCATCTGCTGATCTGGTTAAGAAGGTAGATATTTTAGATTTGATTTATATTAAGAAAGACAGAGACAAACCTAAAATGATTTGGGCTTATTGTATAAAAAATGATCTTAGTCTATAAGAGCTAAATGAAAATATGACACTCAATAGGACAAAATGGAGAAAAATGATTCATGTAGCCGACACCATTCATGTAGCCGACAACCACTTAGTGGGATAAAGGCATGTTGTTGTTGTTGTTGTTATTAAAGATAAGAGTTAGGATTGTCACAAATTAGAATATAAGCCCAATTTGATCTTTCCAACGTTATTTGTTTCTTGCTCTTCCCACAAAGACACAATATCATATGTGGATGTACCATCATTAAACCCAGGTATAAGCAACGTCAATGAAAGCTTTCACATAAAACTCCCCATTTTGTTACATAAAAGTCTTTTCCCTCGCAACTTCTTGATATACTTCAGGATATGTTAAACAACCTTCCAATATTCTTGTTAAGGAATTTGCACACCTCTAACAACAAAGAAAACACACGGTACAATGATAGCAAATTTACTTTCGCAACCAATTGCCGATAATGAAATATAACTTTAAATAATTTTTCCTTATATGTAATCTTCAGGCTGTCAATATAAGTGTCAATAGCTTGCAATTTAATAGAGCAGTTTCTTCAAAATCTGCTGCAAACTTTTTTGAGAGTAATATCAACAAGAACCTTATGAAATTTACCGAACCATGAGTATATGGCCTAATTGAGTTTGAAGCAACATGCCATGCAATTGCTTTACAGGATAATAACAATATGCTAGTTTGTAATGATGTGTCATCAAGTAAAAAACAATTTGCGGGTAATTAAGATGAAGTTACACTATCAGATTTGCAAAAATAAAATCTCAATACTAATTTTCTCTTATCGAGATGGGAAAAAGACAAATAGGTCTTACAAAAGTCAGTAAGAAACTGACTGAAAATATTTCTATAAAAAATCATATGATTAAAATTATAATCATTATTTAAACATTAATTAATATTCTTATTTTTTTTTTTTGACTAGAGAAAAGAAAGATGATTTAAGATCAAAGATGAAGAAGAAGATTAAAAAGAATATTGACACAAGAAGAGATAAGAGAGAAATTAATTCATTATGATGATGATTATAATAAAAACTCTTTGAGATTGAGTGTCCACTGCATATAATGTCCCATCATGAAATATTAGTTCTCCATAGCTTGCAGATCACTCAACAGCCAAGGACTAACCAACCATCTGGCTATCTAGGGCAAGACGTATGCCTTTATTAATACTGATTCTAGTCAGCAGGTTGCCTATAAAAGCTCCCATATTTCCCTTCGAGGAGGTGCTTCTTCTATATCTTGTTGAGACATGAACTCTTGTATAAAAAAAAAAGTATCATCCATCCTTTCTTCCCATTTTGCTTCTTCACTTTTTAATCGAAGCCTACACCAGAGCAAGATGAATCTTGCCTGTGTTGTGTATTTTCCTTTCATATTAAACCTTTCATGATGGACATAAGCTAAAAAACTGAACCACAAAAAATTAATCTGTGCTTGCTTTAACATCTTCTACTCTTCATAGGGACACCTTCACTAGCGTCACCACCTCCTGAAGTTGCTTGGGCCTCACCATTAAACTGTGGAGCCCAATTATTTTTCTAACGAATACATAATTTATGCAACCATGGAAACAGATCGCCCTTCAAGATAAGGTTATCTTACGGGTGGAGCTATTTCATTAAAATTGCTTTAATAATTTCAATGTATTATTTTAATATCCATTTTTTTCTTGTAATATTTAAAATATATTAGGGCTATCTAAAACTTCATAATCATAATCAAAATGAAATTTGAAGTGTCGCAGTAGAACATAGTCATCAATTGGGTGAACCAATATAAAATTCATGATGTATTTTCACATTTATCTTCTTTTTTATTTTTATTCTTTTTCGCTCCCAGTAGTTAGACAAGGTCTCATCTAATACCAAACACTCATCTCCAACAAATTGCAGCTCTTTCATCCCCCCAAGATGAAAGATATCTTGGGTCAAAAGCTCACCACCTTTTGCACCACGTGGCACCATCCCAAGACATCCGTTTTTACCAATCAAAACGTGACGAGATAAATGTATCAACAAGAAGCCATGAACTAGAACACATGAGTTGGCTTGAGCTTTGAATTGGAATGCAATTGAATCAAAGGAAAGTCTTAGAGGTTAAAATTTGATTTGACTCACTCTAATATTTGGTTGATCTACGTAAAGCATGTGGTTCTAATATTGGCTAAAACAATAAGGGCTTTCATAATAGGGAAGGTTTAAAGATGGAATTGGATGCTTATTGGGTCATATGAGAATTTAGCCTAGCTTGTTGATTAATCGGAAGTGTATTTTATTTTGCATCTTTGTATTTAAAAAAAATGAACTATATAGATTTTTTGTATTTGCTACGAACTCAACCTTGGGATTTTGGAAGCCAAGGCTTGTGTTTCCTTCTTTGTAAGAAAATTCCTACAATAACTAAGATTTGTTGATTAGTATGGTGACTAGATAAAATATACAAACTTGAACATGATATTTAATTTTTGAAGGCTTGAATGTCTCAAGAATTTCAGATTAAACAGGGCTTTCCTTAATCTTTGATTTTTTTGGGCATTTACATACCGAAACTTGAACATGATATTTAATTTTTGAAGGCTTGATTGTCTCAAGAATTTCAGATTAAACAGGGCTTTGCTTAATCTTTGATTTTTTTGGGCATTTACATACCACTTAACTCCTATGTAACTTTACTTTTTTACATTTATACCACCAAAATCTTTCATATTACATAAAAAATATCATCATTTTAACTTTTAAAAAGTGAAATATACCTTTTCATGCATGGGTTAGGTGACATGGGGCTGTTTGGGATCCCTTTTGATTATTTTATTTTAAGCAACCTACTTTTTAATGATCTGCAATTCATCCCACATTGATCATAGCTTATTGGGTAGAATCTTGGTTCCGGTACCTGAAATGTTGGAAGAGATCCAAGTTGCTAAACGATTGTTCCTCTTGGTGTTATTTGTAAAAGAGGGCTTAAATTGTTGGTTAACTAGATTGTTTTTGTATATTTTTGTTTGAAATATAAGGAATCCTCTTCTTGATATCATTAGATCCTTTCTTTCTTTGGTTTGTGACTCGAGGCTAAGAAGTAAAACGATATTCATATTTTGATGACTTGATCATTACAGAAATTTCAGACTAAACAAGGGCTTTGCTTAATCTTCGATTTTTTTGGGGCACATACATACCACTTAATTCCTATGTAACTTTACTTTTTACATGCCACCAAAATCTTTAATATTACATCAAAAATATCATCATTTTAACTTTTAAAAAGTGAAATACAACTTTTCATACATAGGCAAGGTGACATAGGGTTGTTTGGGATCGCTTTTGATTTATTTTATTTTATTTATTTATTTATTTTATTTTGTTTATGTTTTGCTTTAAAATAAAACATGTTTGGTCTGGTATAACATGTTTAATAGTTTTTAAAAACACTCAAAACAACCTTTAGATATTTTGAAGGTTTTTAAAAACAAGCTAATTTGTTTTTAAGAAACAAAAATAAGAACATAAAAAAAGCAATGTTTGGATGCTATGTATGCAATTATCCTTAAGAAAGGGTTGGTTACATACATAGCACATGAAACATTGCTATTTACAAATCTATCACCCTCTTTAATCCATTTTTCAAATTCTCACTTAAATATCAAAATTCATGATAAAACCTGTTTTTCATTTTTATCAAATTCTCAATGGTTTGATTGTGTTAGGCGTAAATACATCGATTCGTTAGTTCAAAAATATTACTTGGGTGCTAGATTTTGTAAATAGTTTCATAAGCCCTTAAGCCTTTAATATGTAAATACACAAGAATTGAGATTTTTTTTTTTTTTTTGAATTTTGAAAATGTGTTTAGTGAGTGATTCACTAACTCAACCATTTGTTTGAGATTTCCATGTTGGGAATGCCTAATAATTATACTAACTACCTTGACTCCTAAGGCACCTAGAGGTGGGTTTTCCAACCTCATCCCATAAGTGAGGGGCCCAAAATTTATTTCTAATTGAGTTGCTTTTATTGGTGAATGTCTATTGATTTGAATTTGAACATATTGAATTTTCAATTTATTTTTTTAAGACCTACTTATATCTTAATGAAGCACAAATAGTTAGAACTTACTATTCTAACTTTAGAAGGACCAAGATTGTTGAATGCAATTCCAATTTGGGGGATGCTTATAGATTTAAGGTCTATTTTGCAAAATTTATTTCTATTTCTATTTTTTTTGTTTTTAAATTTTGAACAAAAAATGTTTG